ATATAGACGAGGTGTTAATAAGAGAGTAGAGAATTTTTTTTTTTTTTTTTTTGTCAAAGAAAATTGTTAATTCCTTCCTCATTTTTGAAATTTTGTGTGAACATTTATTTTCACGGCTAATTTGCGACCTCTAGGAATACATGCGGGAAAATTTATTTATATAACGATCCTTTGATAAGAGGTTGTTCTCCTCCATCCTATTATAGTACACTCCACTGTTTTTTGTAGAAGTTTATTTTCATATATAAAAACCATATAACTCGTGTATCCATTGTTTGCTATTAACGAATTATTCATGGCAGGTGGGTTACAAACTCATTGGATGTCAACAAAAACTATCACCTCAATGTCTTTGAGAGAACCATAACGTAGCTTTATAAGGTTTAATTTGCCTCATTTTACCATCTAATTAATTTTCTCTCCATGTTTACATATAACCTCATATTTGAAAATAAAGGTTGCCTTACTCTCCAGGTTGATGTGTTTGCATTGTTTTGTACTTGCAATTTTCTTATGTGCTACTTCGTAACGAATGTAGTGACGATTTGATCTTACTGTATGCCATCGTGTTTCTGTAATAAATTTTGACATGTATTTGGGAAGTACCTCTTTAATCAACTGGAGTTTTTGAATGAGTTAAGTTATAAAATATTGTATAGAAAAAATATAATTGAATGGAGGAAAATTCAACACATTTAACTACACTGCCTACAAAATAACCAATCATGTGCATTGTGCGGGCAAAAACTAGTATTTATATATGAAATAGATTGGGTATTGTTACATGGCTTAGAATAACATCGAGTTCCACGTTCTGACTTGTTCTAAAAGTTTAAATGTATAGAGAAATATATCACATGTATCCATTTAAATGTTATCTTCAATATCCATCTAACAAAGAGATCTAGATCATTTTTTCCATCGAATGCCAAATACGTATACATTTTTTCGCGAATGCCCGTTGGAAGACTCAAAACCCCATAGTTAAAATGACTTTCCATAAATAATAGTCATTTGAGATTATATTCTTGTAGTGGGACATTGTAGTTTGATGACGGTTTGGATTGGGTTTTGGTGGGTGACGACGATGAAGAAATTTATTTTCATTTTTATTTCTTCTCTTTTTTGTGTTTCTTGTTATTTAATTATACTTAGTTAAAAAATTAGATTATTAATTTTGTCCTTTTTAGAGATGAACAAATTATGGTCAAATAATTGCCTTTTGACAAATAGGTCCTTTAATAGATTTTTTTTTTTTATGATTTGGGATGTGGTTATTAGCACAAAACGTCCTTATGTTTAAAATTTATTGTATAAACCGTCTTCAACTTTCATTTTTTTTTTTTTTTACATTTTCACCTTTTATTGCAAAATCATCATTTCTATCCATTTTCTTAAAAAAAATAATTGTGAAATGACAAATATATCATTTTATTTAAATAAACAAAAAGAAAAGAAAAAATAATGAACTAATTGTAATCATAAGTTCAAATGTTTTAAAAAATTACAAATGAATCCCAAATAAATAATTAAAAATCAAAACTAAAAAAATTAAATTCACCGCACCCCGCTCCTCGCCTTCCCGATTTCAGACAACTAATTGCAATTTGGAGAAGAAATTATCCCTGTAAAAACAAAAGGTAAAAAATCAATTAGAATTATTTTTTAAAAAAAAGTATAAGTGATTCCCAAATAAATAATTAAAATTAAAAGTAAAAAGTCCCTTCCTCTCCCACCTACGCTCTTCCCACCACCACACCATTATTGTCGCCACTACCATCACCTTTGCCACTGGAACTTACCGACCGTGGGAAAGGAAAATAATATGACGCAGAAGAAAAGCCGCGAATACCCCTCTCTTCTTTGGACTCTTAACCTGCTCTCTACAAAATCACAGCTCAAAAGATTCATCTGAGAATTTAACACAATTCTTAATCAGATCCAAAATCCATGTCGATTTCTACTAAAATCCCACAATCTCTCATTTTTTATCGCTCCAGGAATCGATTCTTGAAACCCAGAAAAATCCCATCTTTACCCTCTTCACCCACAACTTTTTTTTCTCTCTCCAAGTCAATTACATTTCAAAGAATACCCACAAAAGAATCCATTTTACCCATAGTTATTGTTCTATGAAAGAAATTTGAAGCCTTTGAATAATGTGTAGGGTTTTGTTTTGCATGTGTGGGACAGAGCATATCTTGCTTTCTTCTGTGATATAAATGTGATCTTTTAGGTAGATTCCGATTCAGAAGAAACCCACTAAAAAGAAGTTATATGCAGAGAAGAAACCTACTAAATTAATCACATTCTTCCATCAATCACTATTCCAGATCAAATTCTTGCATAAAATGGATGTCCGGGCCTACTAAATTTCTTCTCCATATAATATATTGCAATTAGTTGTCTAAAATCAGATAGGGGTGGGTTGGATTGGGTTGGGTTGGGTTGGGTTGGGGTGGGGTGATCGGAAGAAAATAAATTTTAGACAATTTAATTACCTACAACTTATTTGTATGTAAATTATTAATTAAATGTGCTTAATAGGTTTAGTTTTCAACCTAAAAAATATTTATTCATTTTTTTTCATGGGAAAATGAGAAAGAGCGGACAAATAAAAGAGAGAAAGTGAAGCTGAATTCAATGGAAAATAAAATCATACTCCTTTAAAGAAAATATTTTTCTTGATTTTGAGGAAAATATGGTCACACGACAAAAAAATAGGAAAATGTTTTCCATGAAAAAAAATTGTCACTCAAACAGAACAAAAGTAAGAATTTGGATGGAAAAAACACATTTTTCATGAAAAATATTGATAATTAAACGCATCCTTATTATTATTATTTTTTTAGTTTTGACTTTTAATTATTTATTTGGGATTTATTTGTAATTTTTTTGGAAAAAATGGGACTATGGATGTAATTAATTCTTTATCTATTCCGTTCTTTTTTATTATTATTTTTAAATACAAGAGTATATTTGTTATTTTATAATTTTTTTTTATTAAAACAATGGAACGATGATTTTTTGTAATAAAAGATGGGGATTCTTTGTTAAAAGGCATGGTCAAACAATGTATTTGAATAAAGAGCATTTTCTCGATGTTTATTAGTAAAATGGTCTCCATTAAAAAATACAATAAATAAAAGGTGTAAAATGTCTAAAATATCCCTATCATGAAAAGACATAAATACCCTTTCAATCCAATTAAATTTTCCAATTCATCTCCAATCCAATTCACGAGCTCTCCGTCTCATGTGCTTGCTTCCCCCACAAAATCTTGTTAT